TTGGAGTCAGTGCAGCGTAGGGCCACAAGGTTGGTGGCCGGTTTGCAGGGGATGCCGTATGAGGCGAGACTGAGGGAACTGGGTCTCTTCGGCCTGGAGGAGACTCTGATCTGAGGGGATCTGTTGGCGACATGTAGGTATGTGAGGGGGTGTCACACGGAGGTGGGGAGAGACCTGTTCTCCCCTGCAGAGGAAGGCAGGATGTGCTCCAGCGGAGCAAAGCTCAGGGAACCCAGGTTCCATTTGGAAGCCAGGAAGCACTTCCTGACAGTTAGGACCCCGAGGGTGTGGAATGGGCTTCCATGGGAGGTGGTTGAGGCCCCATCGGTGCGGGTATTCAAGGATAGGCTGGACGTGCACATGGCAGGCATGTTGTGAGTGGAGCTGGCTGGAGCTGGGGGTCAGACTAGATGGCCCAAGAGACCCTTTCTGACTCACTCTATTTCTGTGTTTCTGTTTCTATGTTATACAAAGCCAGTTGGGTATCGGCAATCTTATCTTCAGCAACCTTCTTAACTGGGCCTGACAAGAAATTTGCTTCTCCTTGGGCCTACAGTTTCACTGCACTGGCCACCACAACCCTGAGAACTCCGTTTTGGTCAGAGCCATTCATAGGCTCTGCCTGGAAATTCTTCCACAACTCATGCCTGCAAGGCTCAATCGGGCACTACCAGACCAACCAAAGCCAATCGCACCTTTGCCAAATGCCTCTAGGCAGGGGAGAGAGTTTTGTTTTTGTTTAGTCACAAAGTCATGCCCACCCCATCATGACCCCATGGACAACATTCCTCCAGGGTCTCCTGCCCTCCACCTTCCCCCAGAGCCCACTAAAGCTCACACCCACTGCCCCAGTGACCCCATCCAGCCACCTCATCCTCTGCCATCCCCTTCTTCTTTTGCCATCTATTGTTCCCAGCATCAGGCTCTTCTCCAGGGAGTCCTTCCTTCTCATTAGGTGGCCAAAGTATTTGAGTTTCATCTTCAGGATCTGGCCTTCTAAAGAGCAGTCAGGGTTGATCTCCTCCAGGACTGACCGGTTTGATCGCCTTGCGGTCCAAGGGACTTGCAGGAGTCTCCTCCAGCACCACAATTCAAAGGCCTCAATTCTTCGGTGCTCAGCCTTCCTTATGGTCCAGCTTTCACAGCCACACATTGCAACTGGGAAAACCACAGCCTTGACTATACACACTTTTGTCGGAAGGGTGATGTCTCTGCTTTTTAGTATGCTGTCTAGATTTGCCGTAGCTAGGGAAGAGAAGCTATGCCTCAAACATCAGGTGGTCAGTCCTGAACCCAATCCCATTCCTGCCTAGAGTCAGTGACTTTTGCACTTTTGCTGGCTCTGGAGGATCAACTGTATTGCTTTTGGCCAAGAACAGCCATCCTTCCTCCTCCCGCAGGAAAGCAAACTGGAGTTGCTGCTTGTGAGTGAGGGCTGGGAAGGGGGCATCCTCTCGCTTGCTCTCTGGGCCGGCCAAGTCTCACGGCTTCATCAACAGTGGGGATGCCCCACAAGGCCCCGTCCGAGGTGCCCACTGGACTCCTCCCCCTTGGTGCCCCCCAAGAGATTGTTCTTTTGTGTCCTTAATATATTTTAATAGTTTTTTATTTTAACTGGGAGGCTGGTTTGCTGCAAAGCAAAAGCTTGTCCTTTGGTTCAAAAGGACGATTTGTATTTTGGAGCTCAGTTCCCACCTCTGCCCTGGATTTAGGTTCTTGGGCGAGTTACTTTTCTTTGAACAAGAATGTGTCGTGGCTGGACTTTACCCACCATGTTAGGAATGGACTATCCCACCCTTGTGGCAGCCATTTTGTGAGAGTGCAAACAACTCTCTCAAAATTCGAAATGTGTCCTCCAGCCCAGAGATGGATCACATCACGTTTCCTTGATTTATCCTCCATTTCTTCGGTCTGTTTGCCTTCTGCTCTTTTCCAGTTGAGTCTTTTTCCAACACTAAAACAGCCACAGGGGCCATAACTTCCCTTTATAAAGGATCACCCTTGGTTATCGCTTGCCCCTTTCTGCACATTCCCCAGTGCTCTTTTTTTAGGTATGGCGACAAACCGGAACATATGGCAAGTATGGGCTTGGCAGTGTTATTTTCAGTCGCTTCTCAGTTCTTCCCAGCGTGGACTTTTTCACAGCAGCTGCAGGCCAGGTTGGCCTTGTCATCCAACTGACTTTGCCCACGCCAAGATCCCTTTCCTGGCAAGTCCTCACCCGTTCACAGGAGCGTATTTTTGCCCCCGTGTGCATTACTTTACATCTGAACACGTTGGTACATTCAAAACGGGGGGCTGGAGGAAAGCTCTGCGAAATCCCTGGACCCACAGAAAGACAAGTGAGGGGATCCCAGACCAAATCAAGCCAGGTAATTCCCTGGAAGCAAAAACGGCAGAGCTGAGGCGGTCTCTCTTTGGGCACATCATGAGAAGGCCGAACTCCCTGGAGAAGACACTCATATCTGGGAAAGACAGACATAGAAACAGAGAAACAGAGCGTGTCAGAAGGGGTCTCCCGGGCCATCTAGTCTGACCCCTGGCTCCAGCCGGCTCTGCTCACGACAAGCCCACCATGTGCATGTCCAGCCTATCTTTGAACACCTGCACCGATGGGGCCTCAACCACCTCCGTGGAAGCCCATTCCATGCCCTGGGGGTCCTGAGACAGAAGAAGAGGAAAACCAGCTACAAGATGGAGCGGTTCTTCCAGGAAGCCACAGTGCCCGGCCAAGAGCTGAGCAGGGCTGTCAGAGAGGACATTTTGGGGTACATGCCTTCCTAGGGTTGTCCTAGCCGGAAACCCCTCGATGGCAGACAATTACATTGAACTGCATGCGCCACTTTGATACATGTTCACCCAGATGGAAGAGATCTGCTTGGAGCGCTTTACACACCCTTTGAACTGGCTTAAATAATCTGATGGCATCAATAATCTTGGCTCGCTCAGATCGTTCGAGCGAACTCCAGATCACTTGGACATCTAAACCCTGAAAGAGCTGTATTCTTTCCCAAGTCCCTCCTTGTTGCTCTCACTCGCTGGGTGAACCGTACATTTTCTGAAGTGAAAAAGTGGCATTTCAGTTCGGATTTCTGTGGGGCTGCAGTTTACATCCCTCCACCTCAGCTCGTGTTAATATTTGAAAAATGATCTCAACCCCACCCTGAGCGAAGCAGGGGGTGAAAATGGCACGTCCGCAGGTGATAAATGGGCCCAAGGGCAAGCAAGTTGTGGGACACCCCAGGGCAGCTGTGTGTGTGTTAAAAATGAAATGGCCCGGCACGTAGGAGAGAATGCAAATATTTGAGAAAGGAACCGGGTGGTTCTTAATGTACACAGAAAACCTTCCTCTGCACCTGTGGCCAGAGATCCCGAGTGGAAGCCTGCCACCACTGCCAAGAGCATCTGGTTAGCCATTGCCCCGCGGTGAGATGCACTTCAGCTCTTAAATTCTTAATCCTGGAGAGGCAGCGATTCCACAGAGATTAACTTCAGAGCAGCTTTTGCCAAGCTGGTGCTCTCCAGGTGGCTTGGACTCCAGTTCCCAGTATCCCCACCACCCATGGTAGGAAATACTATCTAATGCGTCAGGTGAGCACCAAATTGAGAGAGGCTGCTGCATGGCCATCCATATTTCTATCCCGATTATATTTAGTATGTACATCAAATTAAAATGTACTTTAATTTCAGCCACGACTGAAATGGAACTGCCAGGAAATGAAAGCTTTTTTGCTCGGATCGCTGATGTTTGGCTACCCGTGCCTTTCAGGAATTTGCTTTTCTCCTAACAGTGCTCAAAATGTTCCCCTAACTATGGGAACAAGGACCAGAATGGAGCTAAGTCCAGCAAAGGAAGGTGAGCTTTTCCCTTGCCTTACCAAGAGGATCAGCTCTAAATCAACTTCCCTTTGACATGCTTTGGCCTGCAGCTCCCATCAGCACCAGCCAGGATAGCTAATGCTGAAGGATGCTGGGAGTTGTAGGCCTCCAGATGTTCAGTCTGCCAGCCTCCTACCTCTTCTCCACCAGAGAGGCAAGCTTTTGGAGCACAACTTCTTGCTGCTAAGTGCAAGAAGGGAAAGCAGGCAGCGGGGGGCGGGGGCACCCCTGGCTTTTCCGTTTTCCTCCAACTCAGCTCCCCTTTTAGTTCAGGTTTACTGGGACTGGTTCTTCCTCTCGCTGTCCAGCACTAAGCCCCCCCAGGCAGCTCTCTAAACTAGCGATGCCAAAAAGCAGCAGAGCGTTACCTGCCCACCCCCACCTGCGGACGGCACATACACTCAGGGCCCTTCAAAGGAAACATACCCAAGTTTTTAGTCCTTGTGGGCGTGAAGCAATGGTCAACTAGCAACTTAACAAAAGGTAGGCCCAGAGTATTTCAGTCCTAAAAATCGCAGAAGTCTGCCTTTCTTACTGCAGAATGTGAATCAATTTCGTGAAGAATTTTCTTCCTTCCCCATTTGCCTTGTGTTTATCCCTGCAAATATTCCACGCAATCCAACACACGTCGATCACTGCCATGGATTCCTCACCCACGCACTCAGGCAAGACTTCAAACTGAGAGGAGGGCGGGAGGAACAGGGGCACACACACGCGGCATGTTCACGACGTGATTTATTTTTTACGGTAAAAAAGTCCCTCACTCCAGGGCACTACAGATCTCTCAGAAAGACGGAGGGTTTGTTTGCATGGGTTTTAATAACCCTATGGCTCCGACATTTCTTCTCCAGGGTAAATGCGTTTCTTGCGCTTTGGCTGAGGGAAGCGGGTTTGATGTGCAAAGGGGTCTCCGTGACCAATGGATTTCTCCGCCCCATGGCTAGCAAGGGGCAGAGCAGGAGGGGCTGCAGGGCTCAGAGGATCCATGTTTTCTCACAGCTGCGTCCTGGAGGACCGTTCCCAATGGAACAGGCCCTGAAGCAGGGCCAGGGGCTGCCTGCGGCCTCTCCAGAACGCCCTCGCAGCTGCAGGAAGGGAGCTGGAGGGCCCGGTGCGGCTCAGTTCTTCTTGGTCTTCGGGGTGTCGTACTTCCGTTTGCTCGAGTACCACAGCAGCAGGGGGATGCCGATGGAGGGCAGCGTCATGACCCCGAAGGCTGCCCAGTCCAGCTTTGTGAGAAGGGGAGGAAAGGGAGGACAGAGCAGTGAGTGAGGGGGAGACCAATCCAGCTGGCCCGAGACCGGCGCAGGCTCCCCGAGCTCTTGAGCAGAGAAACAGAGGAAGCTGCACCATGTGCAGTCAGATCGCTTGCCCCTCTGGAGACGCCGGGGATCACACCAGGCCACCCCAGAGGCGGGCTCTGCGCCACTGAGCAGCGGCCCTTGCACTGCATCATGGGAAGCTGACAGACTAGCAGTGGGCAGCTTTGCAGGTCTCAGATGGAGGGCTCCCCACCACCTGCCCCGAAGTCCCCAGTCCAGCACCTGGTGCTTCCACGCTATGCGAGGGAGGAACCACCGAGACCTGGGAGGCCGCTCCAGCACGGACGGGATGCAGGCTGAGCTGTTTCCTGGCCTGACCTCCACTGGTGGACAAAGGAGCGCTCCCTCGGGGCAGAACCCCTTTCGCACCGGCACCAGCACCTCCAGGCAGGGCCGGGAGAACTCCTCCTGAAGCTCCAGAGAGCTGCCGCCGCCAGTCTATGCTGGCAATGCTGGCCCAGATGGACCAAGGCAGCTGCTGATGCTCAGGCACGTGGCGTCACACGAACCCAGAGGTGCAACGACCCAGGGCCATGTGGAGGCCGCCCGGCCGCTCAACGGGGACGCAGGTCAGAGGCAGGGCCTGCAGCCGCACTGCCCCGGAGCTCACACAGACTAGCACAGCTTCCCACCGCGCAGGGAAGCTGCCGCCCTGCTCTGCAGGCGAGGAGTGCAGAGAGTGGAGGCAGAGACCCATGTCAGTTGCAGTGCAGGCAACCCCTCCCCCCCTCACGCCTATTCACTTGCAGGTTTTCAGCTCCTGGGGAGTTTCTCCAAACTACTGGGGAGCAGAAGGAGAACCATTACAGATCTGCTGCACGAGCCTGCCAGCGGATACTGGCCCGCCTTCTTTTCGTTCCCAGGAAAAGCACAGATCCAGGATAGGAAGCAGCCCCTGCGAAGGCTGCGTTGGGACCCTCCCGAGCATGCCAGGAGCATGCTAAAAGGGGGCGCTTGGGTGGCCTGCAAGAGGGTTGGGGGCCTTGGACCCGGGGTCCCAGTTTGGCCCTGAGGCTTAGTGACTGGCAAAATTTATTATTTATTTATTAAAACATTTTTATGCCGCCCCATTCGCCGAAGCCTCGGGGCGGCTTACAAAATGAGCGTCAGGCTCCAACCAGATGACAGGCCTTGGCATTTTGGTCCCGCCCTTTTGCTCCCAGTCTCACCCCCTTGGACCTCAACTCAGCACCGGCGGAATTAAGCCCCTGGGGGGAAATCCCGCAGCAGAAACAGGGCTGCTGTGGTTACTTACAAAGTGTGGTGAAAACCGCCTGTCGAATTCTCGCTGGGCCAGGATCCCCCCTTGCCCAGGGGCACTGGTGAAGCCAACCTGGAAAGAGACATGAGCAGAGGGGCCTGACGGGTGGGCCGGGTCAGGGAGGCCTCATGGCCGCCCACCCTCCTGACACTGCTCCAGCCAGGAGATGGTCTAGACAGCCTTAAGGATCCCTCCAACTCACAGACTTCGATGCCTGGGGTGCCCAGCACCTCTCCCAAAGGCTGTTCACTCACCGCCTTTGAAAAAGATGTTTACATAAAAACCTTTGGAAAAAATCAGGGGGGGTCTCGCTCCTTGTAGCCTCCAGCCTGAACCCTTCCCTTGACCCTCTGCTGGCTAGTCTCCCCTCCCAGCTTCTAGTCTGACTATTTCACACACCCCCCACGCCTGCCTTCTCCCCCCCACCCACGCCTTTGTTCACTGTTGACTAGACAGTCCACACGGAGGCCGTAATGGGGCTGAGCCACGTCCTCCAGGGAGCCAGCTGGGTCCCAGACGTGCCCACTGGTGCAACAGGCTGGGGGTCCGGGGCAGCCGGTGCCAACCGCAGGGGTGCGCTGTGTGCTGAGCCGAGCTCGCCCCACCCCCCGGGACTCCCTCCAGCAGGGCCCCCGCACTCACCACCACCTGCCCTCCCTCCTGGGCCAGGTACGTGATCGTGGCCGACGTGAAGTTGAAGTAGCCGGCTTTCAAGGGCCTCAGCACCACCGTATGGGACACGTTGCTGGCCCTGGGGGGCGGCTGGCTAAGGAAGCAAGCATAGCGGCAGGCGGCAGGAAGAGCGCTCTTTCCCGGGGGCCAAGCGGCGCCTGGGGAGGCGTTGCTCGTTTGTGCCATTCACACTTGACGTTTACCTCGTGCTTCCAAGGAAACGTGAGGCAAATCTTGTCCGAAGACTTACAATCTATATCCGGGTGCGCAACTTGCGACTCAGCGCACGTTTTCGCCTGCGACACCCCCCAGCCCTCGACGGCAGACCTGGCTGCAAGGCGGACGGGCACGGCTGGCCAAAACAGCTGCCCGACAGGCAAGTCCAGGGAGGCCAGCGGGGTCCAGCCTGTGCTAGACATCCCAAGCTGTCTTGCAGTCGTGATTCCCGAAAGGTGGTTGTTACTTTTCTCACTCTACCAAAAATAAAAATGTAAGCAAAGAGGGAGGGATAATGAGAAAAAGCCGGAAATCAGGAACGAGCTGGGATCCAAAACAAGGACTGAGGGGTGACTGTCCCCCTCACCATCCCTCGTGGGCAGCAAGCCCCAACTTCACCACACCACCGCCAGGCATGCAGTGCACCCCCGAAAAAGCTGCACGGGGCTGGAAATAGCACAACAGGCGGCGCCCGATAAAAGGGGCAGGAGCCCCTGTCTCTCCCCAACAGCCTCCTTGCTGCTTTTCAGAAGGCTGGGGCGGGGCAGGAAGGGAGGTTTTGCTAAAACGGGCAGAGCTGGAAGGCCTCATGAAGCACCCCGGCCTCTGCAGCTCACTCACCACACACAGCCTCTCCCGGCGGCTGCAAGCACTCCGTGCCTATCCCACCCCATCCGAGGACCAGAGGCAGGGGGGGCCCTCCCTCGCCTTCTGAATCTCTAGGATTAGCCTCAGCAGTTTCCAGTGCCACTCTCTCCCCACACAAACAAGCCGGGAGGAACACTGCTGGCAGGCCTCATGCTCCCAAGGGGCACTGAGCAAAAGGATACGGGGCAATTCTATCCCATTTGACGCTGAGCATCCCAGAAACGATGCCAAAGTCTTCTGGAGGGAAGGAATCATCCGACAGCTCTACTTCTAAGGCAGCACTAGATGGCACAAAGAAAAGGAATGGGATGAGAAGGCTAAGAATAAGCCACCTCTTGAGGACTAGCGGCCCCGAGACACGGTGAAAGCTGGCCTACAAAAACTTTAAACAAACAAACAAACAGTGGCTGCATGTTTGGATGGGGGGGGGCTATCAATGTTTAAAAAACGGCCCTCTTTGCTCCATTGAGATTTCCCTGCCAAGTCACCTTGAATATTTTCCAACAATGTGACTGAGGACTGTGCAGAGTGCTTGGGTGCCGGTGTGCCCAAAGGCACTCCTTTTGGTGCCCACTAGAGTCTCTGACCTCTGGATTTTTATTTTATCTCTTAACTTAAAAAGAATCAAACAACAGTGGGCTGGAAAACCAAGGGCAGCCTGCCAAGGCTGCGTATCAGCTCAACCGAGCGATTTCTGTACTTTAGAGCACAAACCGTGGCCTGTGCCTGGTTCTTAGGTGCTCGCCTTTCTTGTAGTCTCACCAGTCTGGCTTCTGGGAAACCATTTTTGCAACCCGCCGCAGCTGCCCTGGCAGCCATCTGAGGAGTGGGCAACGCCCCACGGCCACCACGCTGTAAGGAGTGCCCACGGCACTCCCAACATCCCAGACGTCCCCCACAACCCCAAAAGGTTCAGGGAGTGCAGGATGACGGCCAGGGAGAATCAGGCTAAATCCAAGCTCACCACAAAGCTCGCTTAAACAATAAACAAACAAAATAAAATTTTCATTAAAAATGGAGGATACAAGACTATACTGCAGTGTCACACACCATAAACTTCTGGTGCAACCTGGAAGTCACCACTCAGGACCCATTTCACCCCACATCTGCAGAGCAAATGCCCTCTATCAAATGATTCCCTGTAAGGACCTTGAAATGAAAAACTGGTGGCTAAACTTTGCTCTTTTTCCTCCTCCTTCCCAAATCCTTTTCCTCCTATGCTGTGCTCTTAGTCTGTAAGCCTGAGGACAGGGACTGTCGTTAATACTGAGAGCAACTGTAAGCTGCTCAGGGAACTGTCTTTGGCTGCAGAGCTGCAATAAGCTAGGAAATGATTTGGTGTTGGCTGTTATTTGACTGTTTGCTGGCCTCGGGCTGGTGGAAGCATCAGTCCTTGGGGCAGGGAACTCCTAGGAGGAGAGACGGGGGCGCCATGACACCATCACTAGAGCCCCAGGCAGACACCGGCCACAACCAGCCCTGCACTTACCTAGACCCAACATTGTAGATGCTGTACTGCAACGTCAGATCCCGGCCCTCCACGGCGTATCTATTCAAGAGCGACTTGGAGGCCAGAAGCCGGGCCCCTTCCTCACAATGGACGGAGGAGAAGATGACCAGGATCGTGAGAGCCAAGAGCTTCATCTGGAAGGGAAAAACGGAATTTCAGTAATGCACTGCCAACCCAACGGCTGGGGGCTCACCCCCTCCCCCAGGAAAGAGCACCGGATGCCAACAGTCCAGCAAAGAACAAGCTATTTTCTGAAGAGTGAGGAAGGTGGGCGGAATCAATGAGAAATGCGAAAAGCTGGAGGAGAAGAGAAAAAATGAGAGAAGGTCCAGTCACTCACACGCCCCGTCTTTTTAATCAGAAATCTCCCATTCTCCGACCCTGATTATTCGGGGCTATCACTGCTTTAAAGACATTTCAACAGACTCTTTGTAGGAACTTTTTTGCCCAACTAATGATTACATTTGCATAACTCTACATGTTGGTAAAAATAATAATCTGAAAGTTAGAAGCACGCTCTCTTCCCCATTTGATCAGCATTCCCCATGTGGTCCAGTGTGCCTATGTACACCAGCTGCTGGGGCACATGGGTGGGAGGGTACTGATGCACTCATGTCCTGCTTGGGGATTGTGTGGACAGTGGGTTGGTTGTTACATGATCAGAAGGCTAGACAAGAATCATAGAATAAAATAGCAGAGTTGGAAGGGGCCATGAAGGCCATCAAGTCCAACCCCCTGCTGTTCCAGGACACCAAATTACACCATCCCACTCAGAGGGCAGTCCAGTTTCTTTTTGAATGTCTCCCGTGTGGGAGAGCCCCCCACCTCTGCAGGCAGCTGGTCCCACTGGCGTATTGCTCTGACAGCGAGGAAGCTTTTTCTGATGTCCAGCCTGAACCTGGGTTGCTGCAACTTGACTTGATTATTCTGTGTCCTGCACTCTGGTTTCAGCAAGAAGAGATCTTGACCTTCTTCTCTGTGACAGTCTTTGAGGTCTTTCTAGAGGGATACCATGTCCCCCTCAGCCTTCTCTTCTCAAGGCTGAGCATGCCCAGTTCTCTCAGTCTCTCCTCACAGGGCAGCATTTCCAAACCTTGGATCATTTTGGTTGCCCTCTGCTGGACCCTTTCTAATTTACCTGCATCTTTCTTAAATCTTGGTGCCCAGAACTGGACACGGTATTCCAGGTGAGGTTTGACTAATGAGGAATATAGGGGAATTACTACCTCTTGTGAATTGGAAGTAATACTTCTGTTAATGCATCCCAAAATAGCATTTGCCCTTTTGGCAGCTGCATCACATCACTGGCTCATGTTTAGCCTATAGTCCACAATTACTCTGAGATCCTTTTCTTTTTCAGCTCTGCTGAGCCACGTGTCCCCTTCTTGTATTGATGCTGGTGGTCCCCCCAAGATGCTTTGGACTGCAGTGCCTAATTATCCCAATTGCCTGGCCAGCTTCCCTGCTGGGCGGGAACTTCAAGACCTCCAGTCCAATGCATTTGGATGGCACCAGGTTGCTGAAGCCTGTTTGAGAAGTTGCAGGCACTTGTCAACGCAGAAAGCAGAAAAAGCTTAAGAAAAGGCATCCTGATCTGCCTCTTCAGTGCTTTCAGAAGCACAGGCATTAAAAACAAAGAAAGATGTTATTATATCAATACATGAGTCGGTGGAAGGCTAGGGGTGTGTATGCATGTAAAAAAACCCACTGCCAGTATCAGTTGGGGGAACCCTTTTTGTCCACTGAGCTGCGAATCTAACCAATTAATTAAACTGTGTCATATCATGGAAGGCAGATTAGCATCCCCACGTGGCCTCTAACTAAGTGGTTAAAGATTTAGCTTATCTATGTTCAAGTGACCTTGAGAATTCGCAAAAGAACATGAAAGCGAAAAGGGGAAAGGGCCATGTCCTGGAAGTGAAACTGGCGGCTGGGGGGCGGGGGACACTGGGAGACCCCCACTGAAAATTCAGGACTGTGATCAGAAGAGACCTCAGGCACGCAGGTGACGGCACGAACACTCTCTGCAGTCCGGCCGCCACTGACCCTTTGCAAGTGTCCGGGCTGGATGCCTCCAGGGCAGAGGGCCACCAGCCTGGAGGGCCCCGCCTGAAGCGCCGAACCCCCTCCCGCCCCCCCCGGACCAAGCCTGGGGCTCCCCGTCCCCGCAAGAGCGGGGGGGGCACGCATTGCTCCGCCACCCCCACACCCCAGTCCAGGCGCTCCTCTTGGGGTCTGCTTTGTGCTGACCCCCGCTGCAAACAGCTCCTCCGGACTACAGCTCCCATCGTCCCCAGTCACCAACCCCCCCCTCCACAGCGCATCTCAGCCTCCCCCCACACCGCCCTTCTCTAGAGTCACACTACAAAGCCAGCACGCCCTCCCCAACAGCATATCCCGGCCAGGTGGGGATGATGGGACTTGTCCGGTGGGGGGGCTGGTTCATGTGGAGACAGGCGGACAGTCCCCCACCCCGAATTAGCTTGCACACCCTCCTAGCCCCCCCCACTCGTCTCCAGAGCCCCCTTCCCAAATTATGCCTCCCCCTCCGCTTACTCCTGCCTCAGAGGCGCCAGCAGCCGCCACCAGAACGGAAAAGAGAGTCAGCGCTCGCCGCCGCCGCCGGAAGCCCGCCCTCCCCGCCCTACGTCATTGCGTCCCGGTCCCGCTGAGCTTGCCGGGAACGGTAGTCTTTCGGCTTAGCGTAGCTTCCCCGCTCGCCTTCCTGCAATGCAGTAGCCCAGCTCCCCGCTCACGCGTGCCGGGCCACAACTCCCAGCATGCTGGCCGAGGGGATGCTGGGGCTTGTAGTCCAGTGCCTCTGGAAGGCTGCAGGAGGCCGGGCCGGGGTCCTGGAAGCGGCTCCCCGGGTGCAGGGAAGCAAGCCCCAGCGGTCCGGCCTCATTGCCCACGCTTTGCAGGCAGAATTCGGCCTGGTGCTTGGTGCAACTTTGCTTCCGTGCCCGATGTCCTGCTCCGCAGCCCGGCAGGCGAGGAGGCTTTGCAGCAGGAAACGGGGCGATGAAACGGATGCAAGCGTCAAGCGGGCTGCTGCAATCGGGATCCATCAAAGCGAGGCTGGTTCCCGAAAGAAGAGGATTCGTAGGAGGCGCTGGAAGCAGCAGCCCGTCCTGCAAGGCGGGGGGTGCCGCTCCTCTCCGGGGTCCACGGGAGCCACCCGAGAGATGTCATCGGATGACCTTGGAGAACTAGGAACGGCCCGATGGGCCAGTCCTGCTACTGCTTTGAGAACTGCTTCCTTTCACTCTTGCTTTTGCTGTCAGCTTACCCTACCTTGCAGGGCTGTTGAGCAGCACAGTAAGAACTGGGAATGTGAACAAGATAGGCTTGGCATATCAGAAAAATAAATCTAAAGTGCTACCACGGAACGGTTATTTAAAGCCACTGGTGTATGTGAAATCTTGCACTGGGCAAGCAGACAGGACTCGTTAGGTCCCCTTCCACTTCCACACTGCCCTGCATAAGAGACCCGTGAGTGGAAGGAAGAAAAATGCCACCGCACGGGACTGAAAGCAACCAGGTTTATTTGGGGCCTTCCTGCTGGCGTAAAATCCAAATTCTGCAGCACGTGTGAATGCACAACGGCGGGGCTGCCCTGAGAGCTAGCTGATGGGGCGGGGGGAGGAAGTGGAGCCCTTGGTGGGCCGCAGCTCCGGCTGCCCCGTGAGCTCCAGGCTCTGCCTCTCCTGCCTGGAAAGAAGGACGTTCATGGACTCCCGCATGTCCTCCAGGAGGGACAGCTGGGCCTGGGCGATCTGCGTCTGCATCTGGATGTTGCTGTGCATGCACTCCAGGAGCCCGAAGCACTCCTGGGGCTGGTGGTCCGGTGCTGCCAAAGCGAGGAGAGCGCAGTGTCAGATGCTGCTCGTTCTTACCCTTCGATCCCACCGTTTCCCCCTTGGGAGGAGCCCAAGACTGTCCTCCCCTCTCCATTTTATCTTCACAGCAATCCTGCGAGGTGGGTTAGGGCCGAGAGTCAGTGGCTGGCCCAGGTTTGCCTAGTGAGTTTCATGGCCCCGTGGGGACTTGACCGTGGGTTTCCCCAGCCCCAGTCCAGCCCTCAGACCAACATGCCGCCCGGGATTCCTGTCTTCTAGACTAGTATTCTCCTAGAATTGAAGCAAAACGAACGAACTTTGGAGCCAAGGCCTCCTCTCTTGGCATTGATCCAGCACCCCTCCATGCCTGACCTGTATTTTTAAAGGGTTTTTTAAAATTTAGGATGGTTATTGTGAACTGGGAGGCCAGCAAAAGAAAAGGCCACCTTCTCGGGCAACCCTTTTCCCCAGAAAGCCTGTGGCTCCCAGTGCCTGAGCACCGACAGTCCACTTTCTGTGCCCCTCACAGAAAAATGCCAGTTCAGAAAGGGGGTTTTCAGCCGGGAGACAAGTTCCCTTTCTATTACTGGTATTCTCTCATTTCTATACAGCTCCACAGCGCACCTCCTGGGAAAGGGCGTTTCCCACCGTGGCGGCCCTTTGGTGCACAGGCACGCCTGACCTGGGGCACCCATCTTGTGAGAGCACCCACAAAATCCTCCCGACATTCCAAGTGTCCCCACCCCAGACGGCCGGAGATCCATGTAGGAGCCTGGCTCATCCCAAAAGTCTGGGGCAGACGGGAGAGAAACAACCAGCTAGAAGCCACCAAGACGTAGCCACAGACAACCGAGTCCAGAGCACAGCTGGCCCTTCCAAAAGGTGCCCAAGCCTCGGTGAGTGGCTGGGAGCGGAAGGAGCCAGGGGGAGGCTCTCCCGGGGCCCTCCTGCGGAAGGCATGTGGAGGCCGTCCTTTGGCAGCAGGTGGCAGGCCTGGAGGCGGCACCCGCTGCTTCCCGGGAAGGACGGCACGGAAAGGGGAAGAGAAGGCCCAACCGGGCTGCAGACGCTGGTCTCGGACGGAGCCGAGGGCCCGCGGGAGGCTCATCTCCACCCACATCTCTGCCTCCCAGGTCGTCCAGTGCGGCAAGAAGCCAGAGAGGACGCCCTGAAGAACTTCGGAACTCAGCGCTGGGGCCTGAGTTTCACTGGAGCGTCTTCCTCCTCCCTTCCCAACCCGCTTCCCATGCCGGTTTGGGCTCTTAGATTTGGATGCCTAGTGGGAGGGAGGGACTTTCCTGTTGGTAACCTCCAGGAGCCGCTCTAGGCCCCTCGGCTGGGAAAGGCCTGGGCCTGCTGCTGGTCCGGGTGCCCTGCTGGGCTAGATGGTCCCACAGCCCGGCCGTCCCTGGGCCGAAGCCCTCGGGGGCCCCTGGGTTATGGCAGGAGCTCACTGCCTCTTTGGATTAGCGGGCTCATGCCGAGCGGGCATGATGTGGTGGTTTGCTAGCCCTGGAGGGACCTGGGAGGGCCGGGTTCGAGTCCCCGCTCAGCCCTGAAGCTCAGGGAGTGACTTTGGGCCAGTCACTGGCTCTCAGCCCAACCCACATCACAAGGAGCGCAGGAGGAGGAAATGATATAAACCGCCTTGAGTTCCTTGGAATAAAAACAGCGGGCTATAAATAGAGCGAACAAATAAATAACGTTCAAGGAACGTTCCACATCGTCCTATGTCGCGGTTCCGTCTCCTGGGAACGAGCCTATCGTTCAAATCTGCTTTTACCAACAAAGGCCTTCCCCATCTCTTTTCCTCTCCCTCTGATCCATACCAACATGCAGACATTAAGCTCCCAGCAGAGATCCAAAGCCCCCCCCCCC